TTGGGGAGTGGGAATATTTTTTGGGTTCTTGGCTTTGGGCCCTATTGGGTTCCGGGTCTTGTTTTGGGTCCTGCTTTCTTTTTTCCAACCCATGTTATCTTATGCCTGTATCTTTTCCATTGGGTCTGGCCCGTTGCAATCTTAATGAACTCTATTTAAAAAAAAATTAGTTTCATCTGACTCTAGAAGGTTTTGTATCATTATTTGGTAGTGTTGTTTTTGTTTTTAGGCATTTTATTTTCCTGGTTGTGGTATTATTGTGTTTAGTTTTTCTCTTTGTTTTATTGATTGGATTTTGTGTTTTTGCTTCGGCTGCAAGTGGTCGACATTTGAGGTGAGTTTGGTGTTATTTTTATGATATGTTTTGTATTGTTAGTATTCTTCATATTAATTTTGTATACTTTATAGTGTGTTTGTATATTTTATACACTATATGGTTTGTATAGTTTGTATTGTAAGTAATTGTAATTTGAACCATTAGTATGCTTTGTATATAATAATGTCAATCAAATTTATATAATCATATATTTTGATTTTTGTTCTTTGTATTATTGGTTTGTAATGCAAGTCCAATCAATTTGTATTGTTAGTATGCTTTGCATACAATGTCATTATGATTTGTATATTTTTATATAGTTTGTATACTTGGTACTATAACTTTGTATAATTTGTATTAATTTTTATAATTTGTACTATTGGTTTCTTATTCTTTATTATTGGTTGTTTTGTTAGTATTGATATTTTGTAATGTTAGTATATTTTGTATATAATGTCAACCTTGTATACCTTTATACTGTGGTTCATATACTCTTATAATATTATTTGTATAATTTCTATTATCGATTTATAAAGCAAGTCACATCAGTTTGTATTGTAAGTAGTGAAATTTTATATTGTTAGAATGTTGTGTATACTTTCTAGGGTAATATCTATATTTTATCCAACCATTTTTTAGATTCTTTTATGTTATCCAAACCTATTAAAATGTTATTAATTAGCCAATCTTTCGTAGTGCATCAAAATATTAGCCATTTTTACGTTATCGTTAATAATTTTGTAACTCTTTTCTTATTTAAAATACTAAAATTTCGGAATGTTGACCTTCATGAGTCTCTTCTAAGTCAGTATCATGTTGTCAAGTCAATATTACTAACAAAATTGTTCTCTAGAAGTTAACATTTGACTAATTCTTAGTATTCCGATAGGTTTGGCTAATAAAAAAGAATCCGAAAAAGATTTGGCTAATAAATAGTCATTGATATACCGTTAATTGCACATGTTTTTACCCCTATTCTTAAGCCGTTTGAGATGTTGATTCTCGTGTTTTGGGCCGATTTCACGCTAGGTTGTGCTTGTTTGTGATATTTCAGGTCCTAGTACGTGAATGAAGGATTGGGAGCGAGTTCGGGGTAGATTGGACGAAGATCGGACGTGTGGCGAGACGCTGAGGAAGCCACACGGGCACTCCTAAAACCCACACGACTATGTAAGAAACCCATGTGGCCGTGTGGTATTTGCCGAGGCTTCACACGGGCAGAATGGAGACTCCACACGGCCGTGTGTCCCTGGCCGTGTAGGAAGCCTGAAATCCACTTAATCGGAACGCTGCGTTTTGGAACTCACACAGGCAGCTGGGTAAGCCACACGGCCGTGTGGCCTGCCCGTGTGATCGGGATTTTCTGGGTTTTAACCCAAATTCGAGCAGAAAGAGAGGGATCGACTTTTCAGAGCAAAAACAGAGCCCTAGAGAGAGAAAGTGCGAAGAACACATCCTATAAGCGATATTGGAGCTGGGTTTCATCAAATCAAGCTTGGAGATCATCATAGGAGTGAAAATCATCATCCCAGAGCATATTCTTCCCATTGTTATGAGTATGACTGCTTTGTATTCTGGTTTTCTCTCTCTCTCTCTCTCTCTCTCTCTCTCTCTCTCTCTCTCTATGGAGTAGAACCCTTCTTTCACTTGGGTATGAAGAACCCTAGTTCCATGTGTTAGGGATCATGATTGTAATGACTTGGGATGATTATACTGTTTGGTTTTAATCGAATGATGCATGATTCATTGAATTGATTGAAGTCTGATAAGCTTTTCTTGATTTCTGTTGCAACCTGAGATAGATAGAATCTGATTAGGTTATTAGAGCTTCTTCATTCGGTAGTAGTAGATTGGCTATACGAGAGTTAGTCCGTCTACTGCTTTGTACTGGAATCCAATTCCAGTAGTGGAGTTCTGTGCTTATTGCTTCAGCTTTCTATCCCGGTGAAGACTAGTCGTCTGTAGGGGTGGGCAATGGGAAACGGGTATTTGGGTATACCCGTACCCGTCCCGTTTTTTAAGGGTTACGGGTACCCATATTACCCGTAATATTATAAACGGATGGGACTTGGGATTGTACATTCCTAATATGGGTACCCGCGGGTTACCCGCAAATACCCGTTTGGGTAATGTGGGTACCCGTTTTACCCATTTGCGAACTCTAATCCATAGAAAGGGAATGTCCACTTCGCCACAAAGATGAAACTTTTCTTAGTAAAGAAACAAAGAACGCTATGTGAACATAATACTTGTAGTCTGCACTCTGCAGTGACATGCAACCTAAACTCACCCCTGTCCAAGAAGTACCATAGATTATTTTCATAGTTCAAAGTAGTCATCAATCGCTAAAGGAACCTCAGCGGTGTATGATTCCTTAACATTGAAATTATCAGTTACATTTTTCCTTCTACCCTGCTGAGTGCTGACAATAGCTGAATGCATGCAGGTTACCCTGTATACCACTCAATGTATGATGACTTTGTCTGGATGGAGAAGTTTGGTGACCCTAATTTTCGCAGGCACATCGTTGTGATTGTTCATGATTTGTGTTGAATGAAACTTCTTATTTGATAATTTGGTGCTTAGAATGATTTATTTCTATGCGTTGTGATTGTTCATGATTTGTGTCTTGTGATTGTTAAGCAAGTACAAGTTAAGTTTAAACTTTTGTTAAAATTTGAGTGGTTTAAACTTTGGGTATTTATGGGTAGTATGGGTACCCGTTATCCGTCCCGTACGGGTAATGGGTACCCGTTTCCCATATGGGTTTGGGATATGGGATGGACTTTGGCCTCCAAATGGGACTGGGTACCCGTTTAAAACGGGACGGGTATCCCGTCCCGTCCCGTTGCCCACCCCTAGTCGTCTGCCGGGTAGTCTGACTGAGAGGGCTTGGTCAGCTTAAGAGATTCCAAGCTACTGTCGGATCTTCCGCAGTCTAATCAACAGTAAATCAACCCAGGGTAATTACAACGGAGACCTAACTAAGGAGCTAGGGGGACTCATTCCCGAGTGACTCTTCCTTTGCTTCAGAAAACCGAATCAATTCCTGCTTTCTTTCTGTTTTCGGTTAAGACCAAAATCAATCGACTTAGTTTGCTAGATAATAGATAATCACGGAGTAGGCAGTAGATCTAGACCCCGGGTTGATATTTAGAACTTGCCACTTTACTGCATTCCCAGACTGCGATTACACTTGGTTGCAGTTTGGTGTTGTGTTTTGGCGTGTCAGTCATTACCGTACTTTTTAATATTAATTTGTATATTGTATGATTTTTATATTTTGTAGAATTGATTTATATACTTTGTAGTATTTTGATTTGTATATTTTATAATATTGATTTGTATACTTTTACTATTTTATTTGCATAGCTTGTGATATTGATTTGTATACTTTTACTATTTTATCCCTATAAAGGACAAGAACATATACATAATATAACAATATACATGATATTTTCATTATAAAAACAATATACATGATCTTTGTAGGTCAAATCGCAAATAGAAAAAAAGACCTTTGTTGGTATGATAATAATAGGGCATTACTGCCACGATATGGGCAGTCCTATAATTATCTTGTCAAAAATAAGCAGAATGAATGGCTTAACTTCTACCATTTGCAAGGAGAAAGTCATGAATCGAGGCATTAAAACTGAAAGCAAAGCAATGAACCCATATTGGTTCGTGGCTATGAGATTACGTGATTATATACTTTATTATATGGTTAGTATAGTCTGTGTTATTGGTTTGTATATATTTATGATATTGTTTGTGAACATTGTAATATTGATTTGTATATGTTTATGATATAATTTATACACTTTTAAATTCTAGGTATATCACATATTATTGACTTGTACATTTTATTATAAGTTTAGTACATTATATATTTTTATTGTGTATATTTTCTGCTATGATTTATAAAATTTGGATGTTCCTTTGTAATTTTTTTAGTTCAAAATAGAAAAAGCTGATAAAAAAGAAATAAAAAAGCAAAGGAAAAAACAGCAGGGAAGGAGAGATTAACAACAAATAAAATAAAAGCAAAGAAAACAAATAAAACTAAAAATAATCAATTTTTATAATACCATCATTAATTCAATATTTTTTGAGGTAGCGTATTCGTTGCACTCACTTTTTTGGGTGCATTCAATGCACTCGCCTCATAATGGTCATTCCAAGCATGCGATGAATGTCAAAATGGTATCAATCGTCGCTTATGATATTATGAACAAGAAACACATGAGTTTGTAACAAAAAATTCAAGATTTACTTTAATTTGAAAGATTTAGAGTTTATTGATTTAGGATTAGGGTTTAGGTTTATAATTTGGGATTTTTGGTTGAGATTCAAAATTGAAGGTTGAGGTGTTAATGTAATGGATTGATTAGTTGTGGTTCTATATTATATCATCATATTAGACTAATGGTACCAATTAAAATTCAAAATTCAATATACTATATCCACTTTTAGAATTGAATGCATCGAATACACTCAAAAAGTAACTACCGAATATCCAATAGAGTGACAAGTCGTGATACTAGGAGCCCGGTAAAAACCTTCAGCTCAACTGACATAGGCCCATACTCTCTCTCTCTCTCTCGTAGGCCCAGCCACCATATTGTTTTCCGAGTTAGATTTTGTAATTTCTGACTAGACTTGGAACAAAGCATTTTCCGATGGTCCATTTCTCAGCTCGGCCGGCGGAGAAAGAGCTGAACGAAGGGAAATGCAGCGGCATGGAGCTCGGAGAATTGGTTCCCAGATTGAGGTGGGCGTCAAGAGGAGCCACTCTTTCTGTGCTGTCGCTTCGCTTTCAGCACACGAACTTAATAAAGGTTTGCTCTGCTTCCCAGTGTCTTCCTCGTTCTCCCTCGGTCATTGTTGGTTGCACTTAATTTGCGAAAGATTGAACCTTTAGCCTGCTTTAATGTCCAATCAACCCAGATGACCAAATCTTCTGTCATCTTCTCGAGGCCTGCAAATTCTCGTCGGATATCAGAACTGCAACCGAAACCCACACCAGAATCATAAGATTTGGGTATGGAACACACCCGTCTCTCGTAGCTTCCTTGATATCTGCCTATTCGCACTGTGACCGCCTCAATGACGCTTACAAAGTTGTTGATCAGGTCTTTAGTTGGAGTGTGAATCTAGTTGCTCTGAATAAGACCCTGCACAGCTTCATTAAATCTAGAGATTCAGAGTTGGCCAGGAAGGTGTTCGATAAAATGCCTGACCGAGATGTGGTGACTTGGAACTCGATGATTGGAGGTTATGCTGATAATGGGCGTTTTCAGGAAGCCTTGAGTCTCTTCAAACTGATGCTTAGTTCAAATGTTGTTCCTAACAAGTTCACTTTTGCATCCGTTATGCCCGTTTGTGCAAAGCTTGGTAGGCTTCCCCTGGCGAAGTGGCTGCATCAGCTGATGATCGATAAGAGAATTGAGGTGAACTACATTCTGATTGCAGCTATGATCGACATGTATTCCAAATGTGGCGGAATAGAAGCGGCTAAAACTATATTTGAGAGGGTTCAGCGGGATGATGTTTCTGTTTGGAACTCAATGATCAATGGGCTAGCAATACACGGGTTTGCCCGGGATGCAATTGCAGTGTTCTCAAAGATGGATTTCGAAGGTATTACTCCAGATGCTATAACATTTCTCGGACTTATGTCCGCTTGTAGTCGTTCTGGTTTGGTCAAAGAAGGCCGGCATTACTTCAATCTGATGAAAAATCGGTACTCGATTGAACCGCAGCATGAGCATTACGGTGCCTTGGTTGATCTCTTGGGTCGAGCTGGCCTTCTGGAGGAAGCTTATGCTGTGATTGCATCAATGCCAATTGAGCCAGATGTAATTATTTGGAGGGTATATCTCAGTGCTTGTAGAACGCACAAAAATCCAGGCATGAGTGAAGTCGCCATTGCTAATATATCACGTCTCAGAAGTGGAGATTATGTATTGCTGTCCAATACGTACTGCTCTCAACAGCAATGGGACAGTGCACAGAGAGTAAGGGAGATGATGAAGAAGCATGGGGTAAGTAAAAAGAAAGGAATTAGTTGGTTGGAATGGGGAGGCAGGTTTCACCATTTCAGATCTGGCGATCGATCTCATCCCGAGACAGAAGCAATATTCCAAGTTCTTGGAGGGCTGATCGAAAGGGCAAAGGGGGAAGGCTTTGTCCCGAAGAAAGAGTTGGTCATGATGGATGTTTCGGAAGAGGAAAAGGAGGAGAATCTTTGTCATCACAGTGAGAAGTTGGCATTGGCATATGGGATTCTCAAGACTGGTTCCGGTACAGAAATCCGAATCTCAAAGAATCTCCGGATCTGCGGCGATTGTCACAATTGGTTTATTTTGGTTTCAAGGATGTTAAACCGGGTGGTTCTTGTGAGAGATCGGATTCGGTTTCACAGGTTTGAAGATGGTTTATGTTCTTGTGGAAACTATTGGTAAATTACATATTTGTCCAAATTAAATTTCAAAATTGACACCCACCCAACATACTACATACCCCTCCCTTCCTCTCACTCTCCCTCCTTTCTTCATGACGTTCCCTCGTCATTAGGGCTGTAAATGAGTCGAGTCGAGTCGAGTTTTGCCCAATTTGAGCTCGGCTCGTTTATTAACGAGCCAAGTCAAATCGAGCTCGAGCTAGCTTGTTTACTAAAATATTGATTTTTAATTGGTACTTCATTTTGTATATCATGATACATATAATTTATTATGTTAGCTAATTTCATATTATACTTTGTTGGATCATATATCATTTAGTTAATAAATTTTAACTACTCCAAATCATGTTATCTCATAGTATCGAAGCAATCTATGATACATAATTTCTTTTTAAAGTAGAAAATAAAATATATTTGCTCACATACTCAACGTGTTAAACTTTATATATGGTGAGATATATAATTTAACAACCATATGAATTAAAATCATAAGATATAGATTGATTCATCCATAAGTCGGTAATTGAGTTGGCTTTCTAGCCACATGTTGAGACATATCATGAGCTCTAAACGAGCCAGCTCACGAGTTTAGCTCAACAAGCCACCGAGTCGAGCTAGCTCGCGAGCTTCACAAGCTGAACAAAGCTCAGCTCATGTTCGACTCGTTTATTAACGAGCCGAGTTTCGAACGAGCTTTTCTCGAGTTGAACGCCGAGCCGCTCGTGAACAGCTCGGCTCATTTGCAGCCCTACTCGTCATCCTCTGGGAGCAGTTCCTGTGCATAAACTTTAATAATCAACTTTAATAATTTAATAAAATAAAAATTAATAAATCTTTAATAATTTAATAAAATAAAAATTAATAAATCTTTAATAATTTAATAAATAAAATAAAAATTAGATTTCTAGCTCCAATCTGTCTCCATCCAATTTTATTTCTTCTCCTTCCTAATCTTCTTCCTCTTATGTAAGTAGTGTTGGAAGTTTGGTACCGGTATTTGAGATACACCGAATACCGTACCGAATATGTCTATATTTGGTATTATCGAATACATGTATTATTTGTTGGAATTGGAATTGGGATTGAATTTCAATTGTAATTCAGTATTAGGGATGACAGGATCGGTATATACCAATCAATACCGAAATATAAGCTAGTGATTATTTTATCCTCTCAACTCGACTCTTTCATTCACTACTACATGACCCTCAACCACCAAGAGTGTCATTTAATTATACATAGATCATTTCATCTTTGTTTCACAACTCAAAAGTCCCCATCCAACTCAATTTTGACTTTCCAATTTAAGTCGCTCTCATCTCTCACCTAATCACTTGCTATTTTCATAACACAAAAAAGAAAATACTAGTATTAGTCGTCTCTCAGCCTCCAATTCGTCAAATTAAAGATTATCAATGACAAGGAATTGAGATGTCACCTCTCCTTCATTCTCCTTATCCATTTCCTAGCTCTAGGCAAACTCAAAACTCACTGTTTAGTGTCTTTGCCCTAAATTAAACAATCAAATCTAATTTATATATTTAAGTACTAAATTCAAATGTAATTAATTTCGGATTCAATAATATCGATTGGGAACCGAAGTACCGATTATGATACCAAAATATTTAGGGATTGAGATTGGGATACCGAAATTATTTATGGATTGTGATTGGGATTGATTTTCGAGTGTAATTCAGTATTCGGGATTTCGGTATTTGGTACTGGGATACCAATATCGTACCGATTTCCACCTCTATATGTAAGGATGGCAATGGGTCGGGTTGGGTCGGGTTTTGCCAAATCCAAACCCCAAGAGTTTATCTGTAAAAAAAAATCGGGGTAAAACCCAATGGGTTCGAAAAACTCAGACCCAACCCAACCCACTAGGTATTTGTGGGTTCATGGGTACTCATGGGTTTTTGTGGTAAAATTTTGCAATAACAAGACCTATCAAAATAAAAGTCAAACATCAATTTCCCCATACAAATTATCCATACATAAAGCACCAGTATAAAAAATTCAAACAAATCACAATTGCACTAAATAAAAGCACACAATTCTTTGTTTTTCATTCATTCCCTTTTTGATTATGAGAGAGCAGAGAAGGATTGGGGGTTCGAACAGAAAAGAGAGGGGGTTTTGTGGGAGAGAGCTGAGGGGGGATCGGGGAGGTTGCAGGAGAGTCATGAGTGCCGTGAGAGTTATTTTAGGGGAAATTAGAATTAGAGTAGGTTTGGGGAGAGTAGGGTGACAAAATAAGTGTGGGCGGGTATCCATGGGTCGGGTATCACTGAACCCAAACCCAACCCCAGTGAATAGTGAACGGGTTTAAACCAAAACCCAACGCGAAACCCATCAACACGGGTTTTACCCGCGTTGATCGGGTTGGCTTGGGTTGGGTTGGGTTTGATAGGGTACCCATGGGTTAGGGTTTTGGTGTCATCCCTACTCTTATAGGGAAAGTTAATCTGCTAACTTGAAGATTCGTTAGCAGATACTAACTAATATTCAAAGTACATGAACTAATATCCAAGTACTAAAGTATCTAGAGAGCACAGACTAGTATTCAAAGTGTGCTAATTATTATCCACCATGAATCAACTATTATTCCAAATTCACAAACTAATATCTAGACAACATAGAATAGTATCCAAACAACACATAATTAGTATCCAGATAACACATAAGAGTATCCAGATAACCCATAAGAGTATCCATATTGAATACTAGTTGGTTGATTGTGGATATTAGTTGGTATCTGCTATCTGGATACTAGTTTGTGATGTTTTGAATACTAGTCTGTGCTATATAGATACTTAGCAGACTTGGATATTAGTTCATACATTTTGGATATTAGTTAGTACATACTAACGAATCTTCAAGTGAGCAGAATAACTAGGTTGACTCTTTTGCCTCCACGGCGGCGTTGTTCTCTACTTTCATCAACCCTTCGTCTCTCCGTCTCACTCCCTCTCCTCCCGCCGGCGTCTTAGAGTATATGTCCCTCGTAACTCAGCCGATGTATCATTGCCCGATGACTCGGCTGATTTCGCCGCACCGCCCGCCACCAACTATGTTTTCGGAGAGAGGAAGGAGTTGACTGGGATTCATCCTGGCGAGATCTATTGCAAGTCGGTATGGTTTGGGGTTGTGATTCAGCAGGAACATCAATTTGGCTTTGGGGGCGGCTGTTATGGGCGTTGCCGGTGGAGCCATAATATACGCGTTAATGCTTCCGTTCCGAAGGTTGCAGCCTCGAGTTTGCATAATTATGTTGCCGGTTTCGATGATCCCGGAGCTGTTAAGGAGGAGGAAATTGAACAGATTGCTTTCCTCTGTTGATTGTCGATATAAAGGGCAAAGTCTGGGTATGAGATTTGTTGATGAATTGCGTTTGAAGGCGAAAAAGTTAAACTACTAACAAGGTAAGTTGTGAGTAGATACTTACAGAGACAGAGACAGAGAAAAGGGTAAACAAAAAGGAGAAGTGATGGCCCATTAAATTCCCAACCACCTTTAGCTCTCTAACCCTCTTTCTCTCTTATTTCTTTTTTTAATGGATATTGGTCAGTGATAGATTGTTTTTTTATGTACTGATATCAGTATGTGATGATAGGATATAATGATGTTCATGCGATGGATATTAGTTTGCGAAATAATGGATATTGTGTCTTCCATGAAAACTAAATACACTATCAAATCCTAACGCATAAGGCTTGCAACCTTAGTAAGGGCTGCCCGCCGAGGGCCCATGGGCCTTCGGCCCAAGAAACAATAATATTTGTTTGCAATGAATGGAGATGAGTTTAGGTGGTTCAGATATGTGTAGTTGGTATTAGTCTGCGATGGTCAGATATTAATCTGTTCGTCGTGGGTATTTGTCTGCGATTGCCGGATATTAGTCTGTGTGAGGTGGGTATTAGTCTCTATGGTGAAGATATTAACTATGGGCTGACTAGATATTGGTCTTAGAGGATATTTGTTAGTGTGAACGGATATTATTCTGGGTGGTTTGGATATTTGTTTTGTGTGGATGCGTTATTCTGACAAAGTGATGGAAAGAGAGGAGGAGACTCACATATGATTTTTTTTAATTTGTGGGCCCCTTTTCTATGTAATCGGATAGTGAGAATGAGCCAGTCTTTTTTAATTTCTAGGCCCCCTTTCTCTGTCTCTGTGAGTATATACTCACAACTTACCTTGTGAGTAGTTTAACTAGGTTGGTTTGAAGGGGTTAATTGTTGTTCTTGATGAATCGAGGAGAGGCGAGAGCGATGGGTGCCTGTGGTGATTGAGACATTGAACAAATTCCGCCCTTGTTCGCTACTGGGAAGAAGAGGGAGAAGAGAAATCGGAACTGGTCTCATCCATCACCTCTGGCAGCAGAAACGAGATCTGAGAGATGACGAAAACCTCATCGCCAACGGAGATTACGACAATCTTGGAGCCGGGATGCTGGAGACGAACGTCGTCGAATCGGAGATAGGGGAAGGCAGAGGCGGTTCTCTGGTGAATGAGAGAGACAAATCGAGAGCGGGTGAAGTTGTGCGGCGGGAATATTACAAGAGATTTTACTGTGGCTTGGGAATGGGTAGGGTTTTTAACGAGTGAGGGAAACATTTTTTTTGTCATAGATAGATAGTAATAGATAGGGTGTTACAATGCGGTGAAAATAAAAAGCGGTAGTCAACCAAATGGATTGCTACCGATGCAAGAGCCGTTTGTGCCACGCAATGGGCAGCCCTGTTAGTTTGCCAAGAAACATAAAATACGAAAATACGCAAAAGAAGCCTTCTTGAAGAGCCTTCTATAAGCCGATTTATGCCAAATACAAAACCTGCAATGCAACACCCAACAAAAATACCAAAGACAAGTATATAATTAAATATATCATTGAGTAAGAATTAAAACTCTTAAACTAAACGAGGTTAGGAACCACATTTGGAATTATAACCGCCTATCCGTCGTAATTCTAACCGTCCTGTACTTGTAATCGTCTGAAGCGTTCCGCATCTAGAATTGGAGATTCCTAGGTTGTAACTGCCACTGGAATTTGGATGCCGGTATTGGAAGTGCGAATGGGGAAAGGAATCGTCGTTGCTATAGCCACCAAATTGCCAGCCCTTTTGTCGTTGTAGCAGCACCTCCGTCGTTGGCAAGGCCTGCAAAACAAACAAACAGTATCGCCACTCGATGGCACTCGCATCTCCCTAAAAACGGAGTCAATCAG